CTGTTTTTTAAATGGTTCTGCAGCTTTGCCTCCATGTGGTTATCAAATGTAAGCTTGCTCTAAATGCCTACCAATAACTAGATTCTGCAACATTTTCTGTAAAGTGTGCAGGGTATAGATGGTGAGGAAGTACCACTTACACATCTCAAATCACACATACCTTTCCTTATTAGAAGTAGATGGCGAACATTAATTAGTAAGATTTTGGAAAAAATACAGGAATCTCAGTGTCCTTGCTCTGTGTCTTCTCATTAAATAATTCCACATGAAAATTATGTGTATGTAAAAATATCAATTTAATGGAGTGAATATAGAGTTAAAATATAATTATATAATTACCTAGAATGCTTAACCATAAAAAAAAAGAGGTTTGAGATACATGTTCTAATTGCAAAAATCAGTACATGATGTTAAAGCAGACAAAAATGTCTCCCTCAAACCCAGATTTGTAACAGAACTAATAACCCTAGCAACTCTTGGGAACTAAAACGCATTAAGAGCTCTTCAGCTCTGAAACAGGAAACCTCAAAGAAGAGAAGGGCTCTAAACAGAAAACTAAACAGTAAATGTTGTCAGTGCAGAGAAGACTAGCCAGTGCTTCAGCTTTCTCATCTAAATAACACAAATTGAAAGAAATGGAAACTTATTTTCAAGTGTTTTTCTCACAGAAAGAAATGTCAATATTTTGTATTTTATTTATAACACATGCATAGTGTACTAACCTCCCACCAAAAGTAGATCAACTTGATTTCTTCCCAGAGTCCTTTCTGTGCTGTGTGGTTTAATCCCTCATAGCTCTTCAGTGCGGTTTATTTTTTCCCTTCAGCAGTACACAAGCTGTTTAGTAGTTGCTGGCTTTTTTCAGTGTATGGCATGACTTAGCATGTGCTGCCCTCATTTCACTCATTGATTATTGCATTTTGTAGCCTGATGATGTTTCACTGCATGGTCTGTGTTTGATGTGATTTGTTCTAAGGCTTTTTTCTGGTGAATCTCCGTGCAAGCAGCAGGTTCTCATGCAAAACCTGTTGTGTACTGAGGGATCAATCTCACTTTCTAGCTTACATGACTGAGGAACAGCTGCAGTGCTGTTCCACAGCCCCAGAAGGAGTCATCCCGGTTGGATGTAGGGCTCCATAATCATTTAGCTTCATCTTCCAGATGAGAGTTTGGGAACTGCTGCTTTAGATGGTACATTGCTTCCAAATACCAATCTGAGTGACAAACATTTACTTACATTTCCTCCTGATTACAACCCAAAAGGTCTCTTCTGTGGAACTGGCATCTTTCCAGGAGTTCAAAGAACTTCATCTGAAATAGAAGAACTAGGCAGAACTCTAGGCCTCATAGACTGAGGCACTTCAGGTTTTCAGATGCAAAACACAGTCCTTAGAACATACAATACTTAAAGGAAAGGGCAGCAACCCTTTTGAATGCTTTGTGACTACACAACTGCAATGTTGTATTTCAGTAAGGTGAGTTTCCTTGGCGCAGGTTATTAACCTTTTATCTGTGTTATGATCTGTTCTCTGCTATTAAGCCTCCTCAGAGAGGTACTGCTGTTGGGTTACGTCGCTGAAAAACTTGCTGTACAGCTGCAGATCCAGATCTTCTAAAAAAAGCCCTCTGTACAAACATAAGGAAACTTAGGTGAACAGAGACTTAACAGCGTTGGCAAAGGGGTGAAAGTCGTAGCATCTGGAGGAAGAGATGTAAATACTCATTTTTGGGTTGAAGTGCTGTTGTCTATCTGGGCTAACAGACCAAAGAGACACAGTATAGTTGTTTCCCGCAACAGTCTGAGGATTCAGACACCTTGGATCCCACTTTCGACTTGCCCACAATTTTTATTTGGAAGGACAAGATGCATCATAAAATCTTCAGTCCCAAGCTACATATTCAGGCCTAGTACATGATGCAAAGTGTCTAACACTGGAGTTCATTAGTTCCATCAATCTTAATTGAAGATTTTCCTCAATAAGTCAGGAGAAAAACCCTGAGCTGCACCCTAGCAGGAGATGAGGTGCCAGTATATGGTCAGGCACTTCAGCTAGTAAGTCTCTCTTGGAGTTAGACATGGTGTCTGATGATAGCTTGCAGTGCTTACACCTGTCTTTTGGATAATAGTTGAATGGTTGGGCATTTGTCCATAAAGCAAAGTTTCTGTGGTTTTTGCTCTCTGCCTCTCAGGGAAGTTGTGTCATGAAGAGCGCAAGAACGGTTCGCTTTCTGTGTGAACTGTCTGAGGTTCTGTGCTTTTCGTAAGGGCTGCATGATGTGAAGTGCAGGAAAAGGACTTAGACCTTTATGCTTCTTTGCTGAAGCTACATGCTTGCTCTTTCTCCGTAGCCCAAAGAATAGATATCCACTTAAGGGACTGTGGTATTTGAACACAGGAGTGTGAAGTACCCACGTGTCATCCTATGGATGTCATAGCATCATACAGATTCAGGAGAGCCAAATGTGATCACGTATCTCCTCCAAGAAATACCAAGGTGTGCCATCATTAAGCAAAGCTCCATAGCTCATTTATCAGAGAAACACGATAGGAGACCCTGATTACAGGCACTAGCAAATGTATTTCTTGCAGAATTATTTATAGGGAATGTAGTACTAAGTACCTGCTAATCACAAAAAGCCAAACACTGAGAGAACTGGTGCTACTCAAACACAGGGTGAGAGGCCTAATTTGAGAGTCATGTTGGTACAGCAGAGTTCTGATCAAAAATTATTCTTTCGGAAGTTTTTTAACCTTTGGTGTGTGACTACCCATGATACCATTACCAGTGTGCAGTCCAGCTCCTGAGGAACTGAACACCGGATACCTAGATGTGAATCACTGTGCCATTTGCCTCAGCTTTGGACTTATTTTTCAAATAAGCTTAAAGTAATTGGTTTTGAAAGGGACCTAGGTTTTTTGCTATAAAATTGAAAGTTACAACATCCTGTACACTTGTTGGAATAAAGCCTCCCACGGAATGAGTGTTATTCTATAATAATACAACAGCTGGGAAATATGTGCAATAGTTAATTTCTACAGGGCCATGAATATATGATTTTCAGAAATAAAAAGAAATGCATAAAATACTATACACTCGTTTATAAGAAACACAACTGAGAGGGTGAAAACAATCCCCAGGCTGTGTGGATAACAATGCTCTCTTTTCTTTTTTTTTCAAATTTTCAGTGACAGATACCCTCGGTGACCGAGGCTGGAATCTGTTAACTGCTGTTTGTGCTCAGATCTTTGTGTCATTTCTGTCAATGGGCTGTTGGCAAAAACACAAGCTGGAGAGCCATAAATATTGTTCGTAGTAATTTTCATGCAATCAAACAATCAGCTCTGACAGAAGTTTTCAGGGTCAACAAGTAATGTTGAAAGATTCAAAATGAAAAAAGCTGTGTAAACACAAATAGGAATAAATAAAAGTATATGATTTTCTATTACTACTAGAGAAATTTAAGTTTTTGGTAATCAAGGAAAAAAATGACAAATTGGTACAGCAATGTAGGTAAGCTATAACAAATAACAGCAGTTTGAAATTGCAATAGATAGATACAGCCTGATCCCTTAGCTGTAACAGAGGAAGTTATAAAATGTCCTTTTGCTTTTACTAGTAGTGTTTAAAGGCATCAGTAGTGATCCCATCAACATTGTGCCAAAGGAATCAAAGTTCTGAGGTTTCTGGGATTAATAGAATCAGCATAATTCGATTTTTTTTCTGGATTTAAATACTAGAATATCACCAAACACAGCTGTACAACTAAGCAGAGAGACATTATAACTCTGGAAAACAATTTAAAACAGGTCTTGAGAATATCAGAATAAAACAAAAAAAAATGTTTGAAAGCTTGTCTCACTGTTCGTGCCACAACCTATTTTGCTGATCCTTACAACAGCTTACTCTGGTAAGATATTTTGTTCCTTTGGGCAGTGTTTCAGACAACCTCCAAAATTACGTGAGTTCTGCCTTTGAAATAAATGGCATAGGGTGTTTTGCACTAATTCTAACTCTTTGCAACCTACAGCAGTTTTAATGGTGCCGATATGGGAATACTCAAGCAAGTACTGAAAAGAAGCGCTACTTGCCCATGCAGTCTTTTGACACCAGCCAATAGCTGAAATGGACTCGAGGCTGATTTCATTAAGAAATAAGGCACTCGTTCTTAAATGTGAGTTTGAACAAGTTGCCCAGGGAAGTGATGTGTTCACTGCCTGCGGTTTTCCCAGGAATACTGGATGTTTTCTTCTTTCACCACACAACGGCTGTTGGTGCCGGTGCTGGGGTATCCTGGTTGCATTGCAGAGATTCAGGATGGTCTTGGGTTCTTTCAGACCTTAAAAAGTCTGCTTGAAAACATCACACTTCTCCACACACACACATGCACACACAAACACAACTTGTTAAAAAAGCAGCGATAAGGTAGGGTCTGCTTCCTGTGTGCCAGGGGAGCTTCTGGACTGATGCCTGACAATGCACCTACTCAGTACGTTTGTATTTCATTCCAATGCGCTAGGTCCCAGCCCCATTTAAATCTGTGGGAATGTATTCCTGACTGCAGTGGAGCCAGAAATTCATCCAGCCTCTCGAGTTGTAGCTGCAGTATTAACGGTGCTTGTTTTTCTCACACCAGCTTGATGCGCAGGTCAGGAAGAGGGAGGGGAAAGCAGGCGCCCTAGAAAGCCCTGGGTGTAACTGTCTCTGAGGGAAATGGCAAACTGCAGTGTTGTAAGCACCTTTAGGCCTCTGGGCTACAGCAGACCACAGCACCGATCTCTGTGCTTACAGCCCGACAGTCATCGGGCAGACCCTAAATAGCTGGAAAAGAAAAGATGGATTTTTTAGAACAGAATTCTATGACGCGTAGAGAATTCCATTGCCAGAATTCATGGCTAATAAACACGCTGTTAACAGCTGAACCGGAAAAGCAGGCGGCTGGCGTGGCACCTGCTTGCTCCACAGCCTGTGTATCGGTTTGCCAGACTGAGGAGTGCGAGGATGGCCTGTCACCTCAGCCTGGCCTCCTTTGTCCCGTTCACCACATCTGGAGGTGCCACACGGAGTGCTGATGTCTGCAGCAGCCCTAGGTGCGACTGCAGAGTGCAGGGTTTTCGAGGGACGGCAGTTCCAGCGGGCAGGCTGTGTTAATGTCACCCCCACCAGCAATCTTCTGTGAGATTTAGCTGCCGGGGTGTTTTGTTTTGCTTTCAGGTGGAGCATCTATTTGACAGGCTGACCAAGGCGGTGGTGGAGTCACCATCCCTGGAGGTGTTCAAAACACGGGCAGATGTGGCACTTCGGGACATGGTTTAGCAGGCACGGTGGTGGTGTTGAGTGGATGGTTGGACTCGATGGTCTTAGAGGTCTTCTCCAACCTTAATGATTCTGTGATTCTAGGTGTATTTTAGCAAGGCCAGCCTCGGAACAACACCCCTTCGGTGCAGCTTCTCCGCCTGGGAGCCGACGGGGATGGAGATGCCCTCACCAGGAGCCCCGTCAGGGAGAGGGAGCGTCCCGACACCCCCCCCCCGAGCCGGCCTTTTTTTTGCGGGGGGCCGGCCCCCGCC